GGGAGCCCCAGCATCCCTTCTACAGGAGAGTCTGCAGAAACGCCCCTCCCAGAACGCCCTCCATTCCTCTCAGTGCCCAGGGGCCCTGCTGGGCAGCCAGCATGAGGCCACAGCAGGTACCCACCCCCAGACCTGAGGCCGGGCTCCCAGGGGGAACCCCCACCCGCCTCCTCCACAAGGACTGCAGCTGGCACTGCTGCCTGGAATCTAATTTTGCCCCCTAATAAACTGCTCTGCCTCCAGGACCCACTGACACTTCCAATCTGCTGGAGTGACAGAAAACCCGGCTGCTGACGGTTGCTCCAGGCGTGAAGAATCGCTGAGATCCCACCCGGGTCAGAGGGAGCAGAGTGGAGCACCACAGTGCTGAGACTGCTGCATGCACGACCGCTCTCAAGGCCAAGGCTCACCCACAGTGCGCGCCCCCCGCCCCCCAGCCCACCCTAGTCCAACCGGGCATGTGTCTGAGCCTGCCAATCAGCGGATGGAAGGTTCTGGTAGCATCCACCAGAGCCTAAGGCTGGGGGCAGGTGATCAGGAGAGCACTCAGGACCCTGCCCCATATACAGCAAGTGCTCATTAAATGCCAGGGGCCTGAGCGGCCACAACTCAGGACGTCCAGACCCTCGGAAGGTCCAGCTCCTGGCTCAGCGTTCGAAGACTCCACCAAGGACCTTGGCCAGCCTGTGCCCTCCCCACCCGCCCTTCCCCCTCCGCCAGCTGGCTGCACAGCCACTCCACATCCACAGCCTTTTAGCACCAATCCCCCCAACACCAGGGCAGGAAGATGCTCTCAGGGTACCCTCGATGCCCCGCACTAGCAAGTGACCCCAGGATGGCCAGTGTCCCTCCCAAGCCTCGGCCACGGGCTCTCTCCAGGATGGAGCTGTGGAGCTCAGGGTCCTACCCTCCCCCAGCATCGCTCTCTAACTGCTGCGCCATCAGAAGCCCCAGGTTCACGGGGAACCCCTGGGCCACTTGCCCGATACAGACTCAGCCCCCTAGAAAGAGGGGCATCCAAGGTAGAGCCCCAGGTGCTCTGGGAGCTGTGGGCAGCATGGACGGCTATCCCCACAGGGCCGGGCCCAGA